TCTCCACACCCGTGCAATGAACGTTCTGCTCCGCAGAGTCACTGCATTCGCAATCATTACGTCGTTGTACATGTAAAAGTTCCGTAGTTTTCACGGAATACAGTTCCCATGTTTCGGAGCTCAACTGCCTGATTCTGAGACGATTAAGGTCGCACTCTTTTTTGGCCTGGCGATGGCAAATTGCGGTTTGCTGGACGCGATAGGAGGCAACGACGAGTCGGCGGCGTGCCTTAATAGGGTTGCGTTATTTATTAAGATAAAGTAAATGTGATGTAATACCTTGATCTCGTCCGATCGCGACAGGTCCTCAACGGCAGTGATCAGAAGATCCACTAGACAGTCCGCTCGTGTGTTGGCGTTTCTGTGAAGAAACTCGGTTTTCAGTCGCAAATGCCACCTTTCGCTTACCATCGTTGTGTCCATTACCGCATTTGGAATAGAAAACGAGGCCCATGTTGGCGTTCTGCCTTGAAATAAGCCTCTGAAGAATTAGGTCAAATTCGTGTTAAATTCAAGTAGAACTTGCCTAAATAATTACGCCTGAGGTAATCCTCCATCCTATCTTGGCCCTCCACTTGAAGGAAAGCGAGGACCTCCGCGAAACGTTGTTCAAAAGTGTGTAAGTCCTGTATTACTAGAAGATCTTTCAACCTCTTCTTCACTTGGCTGCGTACCCGAGGCTGAAAGATGAGATCGTTGCTGCCGAAAAGATTGAAAGAATAGGACTCGACCAACTTCAACAAATTTGTTCGCGTTTCTCTGCCAGGTTCTGTCAATGTGCCATCTGCAATAATGCAACTTAGCACGCGAATTCGGGAAAACCGAACGAAAGCCGTTATTGAAGCACGGTGCTTCGTCGGTGACAATTTGCATGGGGTCGAACTGGGGGACTGCTTTCCGATTTCCTTGGAAAAGTTTTTCCACATCCATAGAGGTCATCGTCATCTCTTTCATTCAGCACCATCACTGTTGCCAGCTTGAGATTGTAACGCGTGGCGTTGTGGGTGTCGTCAACAGAAATTCCTCTATGAGAGAATTTCTGCAGCCATTCCACTTGTTGGGGTGTAATGATGACTGAAAATAATTTTTAAGTGTGCAAATTCCTTACAACCTAGGTAGTCCTCACTCAGTCAGTCGGACGCCCTCTCCTGTAGGGTTTACAGGCATCTCCAAGAGCCGAATGCCATCGTCTGGATTCTTCTCTTTCGCCCGTTGCTCCAAGGACAGCATATCATCCTTGTGACGATATCCAGGTCTTAGACCGAAACGATTTGCAATGTCTCCAAAGGTCCCCTTTGGTAACAAAATGCAATCTCGAAGTTTTGGCGGGGTAGTCCTTCCTGAGCCGCCTTATGATGTACTCATGAGAGTACTCTGAAAATGAATATTAAGGCGAATATCTAGCTACATCGCGTAACACACCTTCTAAAAGTCCTTTCAGGAAAAGTTGCTGAGCCGCAGTTAGGCGTAGGAGGGCAGACTCGATTGTATGGCCGACATGGCCCAAGCAGCCCTTGACGCTTACAGCACCGTTCTCCTCTACCTTAACGTTAAGGAATGCTGGCAACGTATGGCGCTGAATGAAAGTAGATGACGAAGACCTCTATGGATTGTGGATAAAAACTTGTTTCCAGAAAACTGGAAAGCAAGTCCCGCGAGTTCGAGCCACATGCAATTGGTCACCGGACGAAGCACCGTCTTCAATAACGGCTTTCTGCTCGGTTTTCCAACATGTGCGTCTAGTTACATTACTGCGAATCGCAACGACCAGAACCTGGCAAAGCAGAAAGCGAGCAAATTTGGTTGAAGTTGGTCGAGAGTCTATTCTCTTCAATCTTTTCGGCAGCAACGATCTCATCTGTTCAGCTCGGGACGCAGCAGCTGGGAAGAAGAGGTTGAAAGATCTCCTAGTGGCCACAGGACTTTGCACATTTGAACAACCGTTTCGCGAAGTTCTTGTTTTTCCGTGCATCGTGAGGGCCAGACTCAAGATGGAAGGATTCCTCAGACGTAACTACTTAGGTCAGCTCTACTTGTAATTTGAATGATTTGCCCTAAGTCTCCTTGCAGAGGTTTTTCAAGGCAGACACCAGCCAACATAGCATCGTTTTTCCTCCGAATGCGATAAGTACACAACGATGATTAGCAGAAGGTGGCATTTGCGACTAAAAAAAAGCGAATTTCTTCACAGAAACGCCAACACATGAGCGGACTGTCTAGTTGATCTTCTGCTTACTGTCGTTGAGGACCTGTCACAATCGGATGAGAGATCAAGGTATGACATCACATTTATCTCATCTTTAGCAGAATAACGCAACCAATATGTAAGGCAGCGCCGACACGATTTGTCGTTATCTCCTACCACGTCCAACAAAGCGCAATTTGCCATCGCCTGGTCCAAAAAAGAGTGCTACCTTAACCGTCTCAGAATCAGGCAGTTGAACTCCGAAACATGGGAACTGTATTCCGTGAAAACTACGGAACTTTTAATTAGGCTGTTGCCGGAAAGTTCTGTGCTCAGCGTTTGTGCACCTATTTTTTTTGTACCATTCACTTGCCTGATTTAAACCATCTGCTATGGGTACTCAGTTAGCATACCTATAGGAAAGTTCTTAGCGCTATCTGAGTGTCATATTCGCGCTTTCCAGCTTTGCTTAATAAACCGCCCCCCCTTTTTTCAAGATTTTTTCAAGCATGTGAAAAGAGCACTTCGGACGATTTTTTCTTCGACTATAAATTGGGGCAATCCGCAATCGAAACAGCTCAACAAATTAACCAGGTGTGAGGGCCCAATAGTGCTAGAGAAAGCACTGTGCGGCAATGGCTCAACAAATTTCGTTCTGGAGATTTCAGCCTTGAAGATGAACCTCATAGCGGTCGACCTAAAGCAATATCTGACGAGGATTTTAGGGGGATTTTGGAGGCCAACCCATCCCAAACAGTTCGCAGAGATAGCAGAAGAGCTAGGCCTTGGCAAATCCACTGTTGCAGATGGTCTGGAACGCATTGGGAAGGTGAAAAAACTCGACAATTGGGTGCCCCACAATCGGAGTGACCGGCAGGAATCGGCACGTCTCGAGGTTCCTTCTGCATTGCTTTTGCGCAGCAGAAACGACCTGTTTTGGACCGAATTGTCACCTGTGATGAAAAATGGGTCATGTATGATAACAGGAGACGTTCCGGACAGTGGTTGGATTTCGACGAACCACCGAGGTAATTTTTAAAGCCGAACCCTCACGAAAAAGATTCTGGTCACGGCTTGGTGGTCATCGGCTGGTGTGATCCACTATAACTTTTTATCACCAGGCCAAACCATCACAGCAGAACCCTACTGTGAAGAAATCGACGAATGTACCGAAAATTTTGTCAGCTGCAGCCAACACTTATCAAAAGAAAGGGTCCGATTCCTTTGCATGACAACGCCCGCCCACACGTTTCACAAATCACTATCCATAAATTGAACGAATTGGGGGTTGAAGTTCTACCACACCACCATATTCTCCAGACCTTTCACCAACCGACTATCACCTTTTCAAACATTTTCAGAACTTCCTTGCTGAAAAATACTTCATCAATTAGGACCAGGCAAAAAGACCTTCGTAGATTTCGTGGATTCTCGACCACCCAGTTTTTTCTTTGATGGGATTTCTCGACTGCTGTCACATTGGCAAAAGTGTGCTGATTCGAATGGTGCCTATTTCGATTAAATCCGATGAGTATTGAAAAAGTTACGATCGTTTAAAGTGAAACACCCAAAACGCTGAGAACTTTCCGGACAACCTAATATT